ACCAGGACCTCGAGTTACCCATAAGAGAAAAAGTGAAAAAATAAATCTTTTGATTTCCTGTCTATCCCAATTTTTTTGACCCATTTTATAGAAAAATATTTCAAAAATTGTGTATGGGCTAGTACTACTTTATCATATAATATATTCATAAATTTTTCCTGCAGCATTAATCTTGAAACTATAATTTTTATGATATCAAAGAAAGTTTTATCACTCTATGTTGGCATTCTTTGATTTATACTTAAACAGGTTGGCTGGGTAAAGACTTGGCCATATTCAGTACATCCATTTTGGTTCCCACCAGTATGAGATGTCTTCAAGTTGTCACTCATGTTATTATAAAGAACTTCTGCAGTATGAATTCTTGGTGTATAAAGAAGTTACACATGAGATGAAGGCTTATTTGATATTCAGTACAAAATAGATTTTTTTTAGTATGAGTTTGTAGTCTTTAAAAAGGTTTCTTTGCATGCTCAAAAGTCTCCTTAGGTTCACATGAACCAATAAGATTGCTCTCATTTGTGAATTTAGAGGCGCAAATGCAGTGCTGATTTCTTCATGAAAAATTTCCAAAGGATTTTAAAGACTACAGGCCAGTTGTTTTATAGAATGTGAAGGAAAATGAGGTAACTAAGACTTTCAAAAGTGGACTCAAGAGATCAGGAAATGTCTGCACTGACATCTGCCAGATGGTAAATCACAGAATGTTCCAACTGACTTAGATCAACAACTGAAGCCAGTTTATAGCCTTTGATACCTGACATCGGGTAGTATCCCAAGGATAATAGTGATCGATTTAGGCTTTCTACTAGCCAATGAACTATCTCTGAAAACAACTTTCCTGAGGAAATCCCCTATAGGAAACCTCTCCTACAATCCCCTACAGGAAAACTCTCCTACAGTGTCTAACAGGACACTGTTGGGAGGCTGCTCTGATTCAGTGTATCCAAATTTTGATTCTTTGTTTCCCAAATAAATTGATCACTTTTCTTTCTTTATACTGAAATTCTGAAAACTAGTGGAGATGTACACCTTGACAAGCAATTGTCACCTTCACCTAGGGCATTTTAAAAATAATTGCACTGAAAGATGACACCTGCTCATTGTACTCAAGATGGCAGGAATTAAAGGCATAATTTTAGAAGGTCATTGTCCAGCAAAGGGGCAGATGCAAGGGAAGAATGATATTCTTTCCTCCTGACTGCAGAGTGGCTATGCCAACTACAGGTTTCCACTGAGCGCTTCTACCATAGAATAAAATGTCCTTTGATAAATTATGTTCTTCCACTTGTCTGGCTCTCAGGCAAGAGAACTGTATTATGCAATAAGTTGTGTTATTATCTCAATCATCACAGGGTTAATTAATTAACGTGGGTAAAAGTCTTCGGAATTTCTACACATGAAAGATTTTGAAAAGCAGTCAATACTATTATGATTCTTTGAGTAAAACTTAGTGACTTCGAGAAGAAAATGAGAAGTAATACAGCATATCATGTTTTCAAAGACCCAGTACTGTTGCAGTAAAAATGCTTTCAGCATAAGGTTCATGATGTTTCTTGTATTATTCAGTTTCCAGGACAACACATTTCCTGAAAATGCAACACGTTGCTACTGTGATCTGTCAGTAAAAAAATGAAGCCATGTAAAGTTTGAAAACATGTTACCAGCACAAAATTGAAGCCTGAAAGCTAAAACAAACAAACAAGCAAAAAGAACTTGATCTCACATTAAAATAGTGTTTTATTACCTAATTTTATTATTTTAATGTTTGGACTTACTGTAAGGCAAAATAAAAAAGGAAATATATAGCAAAATATTTTAAATGTCTTAAAATGAATCTCAACACTTTTTTGATCAAGCAAATGCATATTGAAAATGTTATTTCTAGAATACTTCTTTCTATTTCTGGAGATTTTGCTCCAATTAATGTCTCCTGACTTTCCTCTGTTCTTCTTTTGAATTATAGGGAAAACAATGAGGAAATACCAGGAATAAAAAAAGGAAGTCTTGTCTATTCTTTTCCTTGTATCTCAGGTCCCACTATCTTTACACCAATAGCATTCTTGACAACTTTGGAATATCCAGAATTGTAAATTGCTTTTGTAGGGATGAAATCTACATACTCCAACGTGGAGCTTAAAGCCAATTCCATAGGTATCAGTATGACTAAATTTAGTCTGTCATGAGTTGTGATTTTCATTCATTTAGCTATGTTTGCTGAATGTCCACCATGGTCTTATGTATTGAGGGTGGAGAGGTGAATGAAATAGTCCAAGACCCTTGACTCTTAAAGTTAGTATTCTAGAAGAAGGAGATGAATAGTAAATAACAAACAATATGATTAGGCAAACTATAGCAGTGATGGTGAACTTTTTAAATACCAAACTGCAACCCAAAACTCACTTATTTATCACAAAGCACCAACACTGTAATTCAATCTGAATACTGAGGTTTTAATTTAGGAAAAAACTGTGCATTAAAAGAATAACACAATAATAGAGCTTTCAATGATACAAACAGCCCACTGCAGCATGCAAGCCATAGGTTCACCACTACTGCTCTGCAGTAACTTGGAAGATTCAAAGCATCCTGGAGAGAAAGCAGAGTAATGTTACAATGACTGGGGTGCTGTGGAGAAAGATACATCACAGTCTTCATTCAAGAGGTGACCTTTGCTCAAAGGGCTGAATGAAATAAGAAAGCCAGTGGTTCACTGAAAACCTTGGGTGGTAGTGTGGCCTGTGTGTTCATGAACAGCAAGGGACCAAAGTCTAATAGAACCCAAGTGGCAAGGGAGAGTGGAAGGAAATGGGAGAAAAAGGGCCAATTCATGCAGTGCCTTGAAAGCCCTGATTGAGAAGAATGCCTTTTTCATTGGACCAAATGAAGAACCCTTGGCTTTGGGTCTTTACAGTCTTCACAAGACTGAATACAGGAGTGATGTGACATTCACTTCAACAGGTTGACTCAGGCTACTTGGTTGAGAATAGTCCTAGGAGTCCAGAACAGATGCTTAGAAATGAGCCAGAATGGTAAGAAAATAAAGGAGATGAGAGCTGATAGTGTGGCTCACACCACAAAAATGACTGTTTACTTCTCACTGTGATAATCGGATATTGGGTATATTTGTTAGGTACAGCTGAGGAATTTTCTCGGCAGATTGACTGTGAAGAAAGAGTGGAGTTAAGAATTAATCCAATATTTTTGATCTGAGCAACAGGAAGGCTAGAGATGCCATCAGTTGAAAATGGTGAATGTTTTGGATTGAGGGACATTATCAATACAATTTCAATCCTGTTACACTTTGGGTATGGATTAGGCAACCGTGTGAAGATTTCCAACATACACTAGGATTAAATGAATGTGAAGTTCAGAAAAAAGGTATGTAATGTAGATACACATCTTTAGGAAGTATTAGCATATAAATGGAACTTATGACCGTGAAGCAAAATGCTACAGTTAATGTCAGTTACTTTTCTCTTGTTGCTGAGACAAAATACCTGATGCCCAAAACTAAGGAAGGAAAAATTTATTTAGCTCATGATTTATAAAAGTTCCAGTCCAAAATCAGCTTGTTCCAAAGCAGGGTGGCATAGCAGAGAGGCAACAGTTCATGACAGTGGAAAATATCAAAAACAACAAAAACAAGAAGGGTAGAATGAGGGTTTTCCCTCCCTTATACTATGTACAGGAGAGCCTTCACACCATCTCTGTGCCCTCCTGTTGCACAGCTTCAGGATGCTTACACAGTGAGGATCCTGGCCCCTTACTGAGTCACTTAGTTGAACTTCTAAACTTCTCAAGTTGACACAATGAACAACATCCCAGAGTGGTAAGGGCATGTCCTCTACACCCTAGGATGTAGAATCTCTGAGTTACCTAGTTAAGCTTCTAAACTTCTCAAATTGACACAATGTATCAACCATTACAATTAAAGAATTGAGAATTGTAGGCACAGTGGGGAAGAAGACCTAAGATCCAGCCATAAGGTATTGAATATGAGATACTAGAGAAGAGGAAGAACTGACCCAAAAGGACCTGGAGAAGTTAACATTCCCACATTCATTGAAAATGTGCTCCTTTCTGTTGAAGCAGTTAGAGAAAAAACAGAGGAAGGAAGGGTTAGGGAACTGATACACAGGACAGAATGGATGTAGAAGGTACCTGTTGCTTTTCTACAGGGGTTGAGAGAAAGGACATAAGCATCAATGGGAAATTGTTTTCCTAAGAATCTGCTAAAGTCAGAACTTGTTTGCCTTTTATATGTCAAATTATACATATACAATTAGAAAACACTATTGAAATCTCTAGCACAGAATACATTTTGTTCATGTAATCACATGTACTCAATATATTTATATGTGGAACTCCTAGCAGATTCTCAGTGAATGCTTGTCAAATTATTAATATATTACTTTTGCTCTTTGTTGAGAATTTTAAGGTGTTCTTTTTGCATAATGAAGGCATATAAAAACTTTCTTCAATACTTTCATGACACATATACCTATTGAATCAGAAGCTAGTTTATTGAGACATATAACATACTTTTCTAAAATTACTTGTCAGGGGCTGGGGATTTAGCTCAGCAGCACAGTGCCTGCCTGGCAAGTGCAAGATCGTGAGTTCGATTCCCAGTATGGGAACAAAACAAAACAAAACAAAACAAAATGTAGGTTGTTAAAATTACTTGTCAGAACTCACTGGCAGGTAGACAGAGTAGGTACGAATTGTCTCTTTAGCTTAATTCTGGAAGAATGGCAATTGAAATTAATGAGACAACCAGTGAAAATATGAATATCCTCAAACTACAAGGTAGATTTTTTTATTTGAATTTAAGTAAGTCATCTATATTCAGAGCTGGCTTTGACCTAAATTTACTTAGCAATGCTCTAGAAAATTAGAGAGTATTTCAATGAGAGTCTTAATGTCTCCTCTCTCTAAGGAGCAAAACACGACTGACAAACCAGACTGTTCCTTCAGGAGTAGGCAGTGTTGATTACCAGGGTAGGAGGAGATGGCATTGATGTGTGTGGTTTGGATGACGCCCACCCGGGGCCCTCGGTTGTTTTTCATGCACATGCAGATGCAGATGGCAATTCCTGCAATGACTCCCATGATAAACACGATTCCGAACACAATGCCAGCAATTGCAGTGCCCCTAAAAGAAAAATCAAAGTGCACTCATTAAAAAAGCTCTGTAAGGATTCTGTAGTTTTTCAGATATAGCTCTATGACTATGTGTGCTTCTTTACAAATGCTCTTAAGGATAATCCTTTTAAAAAGAGAATTTTTTGAATCAGACAAGCAAATATTTTGTACTTTAACAGGTATGAGAAAATTATAAACTTTTAGGGAATACACTTCCAGCACCATTGACTAACCAATCAGAGTCTAGTTTTAGAATTCATTTTTTGTACAAAGTAAAAATTTTCATGTATTGTAAAATGAGAATTAAGTGATCACTCTGCTGTGTACCTAGAGAATTAAAGAATTTATTGAATATGGAGTACATATATTTAAGAAAAACAGCTTGATAAATGACTATGTGAAATACAATTTAATTTAATTTAATATTATAATTTTGGTTAAAATTCTTCATAGTTTATTTTTAACAAACAAAACACCAAAACAAGCATCATATTTTTTTTATTATCCAGAAGACAGTTATAATAAGTATCCCCATTACATTCAAGAATAATAGAAGCTAAACTTCTACCTGTGTTAATGTCACAAAACCATAAATGGAAAAAAATGACATGAGATAGTTATCATCATTTGTAGATAATGAGGAAATCTTTATCAAAATGTAAATCTTGACCAGGGAATATCATTTCTAGCAATGAATCCTAAGAAAACAGAACACACACACACACACACACACACACACACACACACATACACACACACACACACACAAAGCTGGGTATATAGCTCAGCAACATAGCGCCTGCCTGATCCCAAGGTTCCAAGTTCGACTCCCAGCATCAAAAAAAATAGGACACATGTGTATAAAAATAGTACATGAACATGAGGATGTTCATCGAAGTAAGCAAGGTGAAATGTTCATGATACAATACTAACTAAATAAGAATATTATAAATGGAAAAATAGACAGTAAGATAATACAAATATTTACAGAAGAATTGCAATAGGATAATTTTTGAATGGATGTTTACTGGCTGACCTGTAAATATGGAAAAATGAGGAAATCTTCTACTTTCTAATTTGTATATCCCCAAAATGTACTTATAACCATTTTCAATTCTCAGATATTTTCTAGTACTTTTCAATTTATTTTTTAATACTTAATTATTTTATTTTAAATATTTTACTTCTTTTATGTTGGCTCCTCATTTAGCATTTGGAAATCTAGGACTCTCAGACAAGCTTTAATTACCTCTCACTTATCTTCAACTTATTTTTTCAAAGCAATTTCTGGGAATCTTCATTTTTTTTGTATTTTTATTGCAATTTCCCTTCTCCATAAAATTCCTAGAAATCTTTCACACAATTATCAGTAACTTTTCATACTCAAGCACTGTAAAAAAATCTTATTGTTTCTATTCTGCCCCCATAGAGACAGTGCTTACTAATTCCACCCATTCCTTTGAGTGTAGACCTGTTTTCCTCTAGGTCTAGATTAGTGTCCTCAGATCATGTTTCTGAACCCAAATCTTGCTATTTCTTGATGAACTGCCCTGTTTGTGGAAGCAGAGTCCTGAATGGCTTCTTAAAGATGTCTTCAAAGACAAGGAGCTTTTTGGCCTTTACATGCCTGTTAATAAATTCATCACTTGATTCCTAATATGGCTATGGTGTTAATCAGCTTTCTGTTACTGTAACAAATACTTGAGATAATTCAATTTATAAGGAAGAAAGGTCATTATTGCTCAAGGTTTTAGAGATGTCAGCCCATGAGGATTTAGCTCTGTTAGCAATGGGGCTATGGCAAAGCAGAATATCATAGTGTCATACTTCCAGGAAGAAAAGTCAGAGGAAGAGGAAGGGGGTGGGATGGTAATGCCCCCTTCAAGGGCATGTCTTTAATAACCTAACTTTTTTCACTAGACCCTACCACTTAAAGTTTCTACCATTTTCCAATAATACTACCCTAGGTACCATGCCTTTAATGTATAGGCCTTTGGGTACATTTATCCACACAAATAACATCTATATATGAAATTCTGAGATCAAAGGCATTATTTGTCATACAGAATGTAGAACTGCTATAGAGAAATTTCATCACATTATAATTAATTTTCTTTACAGGGTATTATTTTTTCTCTTTTCTCTCTTTCTAGAAGTTTTTATTCTTACCATTTTCCTTTTATTCCTGGTATTCTGAAACTTCATAATGTAGCTATATTTACATATATTTTTATCAGATTAGGATTCCTATTACTTCACAGAAAGTTATATTCTTCAGTTTTTTAAATTTATCCTTACACTGATAATTTCTCAACCATTTACCATGTTTCTCTCTCTGGAAATTTAATCTGAAATAAATTTATAAATTCCATAATTGCTTCTTCATTCTTTACCTTTGTTCTTTGAACTAATTTCTGGGGAATTTCACTGCCTAGATCTTCCAAAGTTTTATTGAACTTGTACGGTTCAGCCAAGCTATTTTAAAATTTTACCTATTCTATTTTATCCTCTACTGTGCTCCCCTAATTTTTTAAAAAGTGTCTTCATTTCCTTTATGGTTGTAGTCTTTTTTCTTAATTGCTGAGGTGCTAATGATATGTTCTCTGAAACACTCTATATTCTGTTTCTTGTGCTCTAGATTTCCTATTATTGATTCTTTATTTTGATCTCTTCCATATTTGATGTTTTCCTTAAATGTATGGTGATCCGTGAATCCCCTTTGTTATGATTTGGATATGGCTTGAATATGACTTACGTGTGTCCTCTAAAGATTGGCGAGGTGAAGATATTAAGAGGTGGTATGGGATTGCATGAGGTGGGGCTTACTGGGAGGTCATGATGTCCTTGTGTGTGTGTGCTCTTGGAAGGGATTAACATAGTTCTCATGGGACCCAGTTGCTTCCAATTTCGTGTCTTGTCATGTGATCACTCTGTCACCCCTGTGCTCGTTTTTGATGATGCCTTGTGCCCTAATGTCACACAGCCATGGGATCTCTTGACCAAGTGATGCCATGCTGTTTGGATTTACAGACTCAAAACTGAGCTGCACAAACCTCTTCTCCTTGAAAGTTAGGCAGCTATAGGTATTTAGTTATAGGAACAGAAACAGACAAATACATCCTTCTATTTAAAAAAGAGGCTCTAAAGACCTGTTTGAACCTTTACTGTACAAGGTCAGGGCTTGGCAGGTGATCTCCACAGGTGGCAATAACGTGAGGTCAGGATTAATGTGTCATTTCCTTGAGGCAGTTCCCTTTATCTCACAAAAAAAAGATCCTCCAATTTCATATTCACGTCACATGAGCCTGACTGCCAGTATCCCAAAGCTCTGACCTTTGCTGGGAAGGACATGAGTTTTCACAGAATCCTTAAGTTTTTACTCTAGAGACCCAGTCTTTTGCCATTCTGTGATGCCTGTCTTTTAGGTTTAAAAGCATGATCTCAGAAGGAGTCAGGCCACCTACATTTCAGTTGAAGCTGCAGAACCTTGGTGAAGTTGCTCAGCATCTCTGTGCTTCGCTTTCCTCGTGTATAAGATGACAGTCAGCTTGGTGCTTATCTATCTTGCCAAATTTCTTGTGATGAGTCCTGTGCTCATAGACTATTTTTTTGCCAAATAAATATATTGTAATTCTCAGTGCTCTATGAACATTTATCCCATACTTTTCTTTCATAGGCCGATAATCTTTCACCCCAAACTGCTGAGGTCAGACGTGTCTCATACATCAGAGATTTTCATATTCGGAAAGTGAATACATACATCCACAGCACACTGTCTGATACTTCCAGAGCAGGTAAGGCAGTGTCCTGAGCACATTTAGATTTCTACAGTAAAATGGAAATATCAATAGTCATGGGTTACACTGAGACTAGTTTCAGTTAAAACTATTCTTGCACTAACTGACCCTTATCTGCAATTCTAAAATCCCCAAAGAACTCTGAAAAGTGAAAAAAAAAACTAATAGGGGACTGTGAATCTGTATTTGTACTTTCAGAAGACGTTTCTCTCTAAGACATTTTCTTACTTATTTAAAAAAATATCATGGAGAATTCCAATAAACTTTAAGATATTCCTACAGGCACATTTTGTTATTAAATTATGAGCATAGAGTGTGAGATATGTTTGCATGTGCTGCTACTAGTAATTAAAGAATAGCAGAGTCTAGTCACTTAATAGATATATCTTTTCAGGAAACAAGATTTATTTATCCAAAGAATTAATCTGAAGTAAGGAAATGGAAAGTTATCTGAAAATCTCCTTTATATTATAATTTTCAAGTCTAAATAAGGTTAAATTAGAGGCCTAATTTATGTTCCAGAAATAATCAATGGCCCAGTTATTTAGACACAGAGTTTCTAAAGTTTGTGTTCTGGAAGCTGTTAAGATATCAAATTGGGGCATGTTTATATTCATTAACTCTTTCTTTTAAATGGAGGAAGTAGAAAACTAGTCACATTTTGTTTCCCTGTTGGCAGCTCCCTCAAAAGTTCTTGCTCCTAAGGTTAATAGTGAAGTTGCAATTACTGTGTTAAATGAGGTTTTTTAAGTAAATCATGATTTTGGTCTTATTGAATCTTTGACACCTATTGGCAATTTAGGACAGCAAGCATACACTTTATAGCATTATTTACTCTGTTATTAAGTACAAAAATAATCAACAATAATCTTCCTGCATATAGATAATTTCATTTAGGCATTTTTTTTTTTTTAAAGACAGGGTCTCTCTATGCAGTTCAGGCTGGCCTTGAGCTCACTTTGTAGCCTAGGATGGTCTTGAACTCACAATGATCCTCCTGCTTCAGCCTCCCAAGTGCTGGGATTATAGGCATGTGCCATCATGCCCAGCACTTAGGCAACTGTTGAAAAGAAAGAAGCTATTAATTTTAGATATCAAACATCATTAAAACCTTGAAAAATTTTAGGGAATCTATAACTATTGTTTTAGTTATCTTATTTTCCTCCAGGGATTGTCCTTCTGCTGTCACATCTATGAGCTCTTCACCAAACTG